ACTCTGAAGAAGAGAATGAGGTGGAGCAAAAAATAAGTTAAAGGAGAAAGTTTGGGAGAACCATAGGGTTAGAAGAAGACTCACCGTCTTCATCTGCTATCGAACTCCTGGGCTGTGAAGGTGGAAAGGGAGTAACTGCTACGTTTCTTAACTATCCCGCAGGCCAGTCAATGGCTTTTGCACTTGTTAGGCGGAGATCTCCTGGGAAGCTCTCGTTAGAAGAGCAACTCGGCCCCTCCCCTGGGCAGTACTGACTGGAGTCTGGGGCAGGAGGCACAGATCCTGGCCAAGCATCTTCACAATAGAATTATTTGCTTGAAATCAAGCAAAACAAAGCTATTCTTACAAATCCTGTAAGGCCAGTAGAGAATTATTTTAACTCAACTACAGCTGTGCCTAAGAAGATGAGCATCTTTAAATCATTGCCTTAGTGCAATCTCTTCTAGGAATGAGGAAGAAGCACTGAGACAGACCATTTTGACACCACAACCTGGGGATGCCTAGAGGTGGTGTCTTGAGGGACATCACTGAGAGGTGGCAGTGGCCACCACCAGCCTGAAGTGGTAGAAGAGGCATCCGAAAGCACAGGAAAAAAGCTGGTCTCTGGGGCTTCACCTGGACTCACCTTCTTGCTGACATGGTCCAGCAGGTCCTCACAGGCCATGGAAAGTCAGGAGAGGCCATGGACCATGAAGTACCATACCAGTTATTTGGTTTTGCTGCAAATTCTGAGCCATTATTTGAAAATATTTTCCCTCTTCTTGACATCAAATGTGCCAAGTGAGCCAACATCATTTGGGCATGTTCAGAGTAGGGGGCGCTAATTCTTTAAAATCTGCATTCTCCATTCTCATCCTATATCCATATTCCCAAAATTGCATCTGGCCAATTTTCTTCACCTCTTTTTGGGGGCTGGGAAAGACTAGTATTTCCCCATCCCCGTGGTTCTCAATCCTGTCTGTCAATCACTTGGGGAGTTTTCCTAACTATATATTCTTTTTTTTTTTTTTTGAGACAGAGACTCACTCTGTCACCCATGGTGGAGTGCAGTAGTGCAATCTTGGCTCACTGCAACCTCTGCATCCCAGATTCAAGTGATTCTCTTGCCTCAGCCTCCCAAGTAGCTGGGATTACAGGCGCCTGCCACCACACCCACTGGCTAATTTTTTTTTTTTGTATTTTTAGTAAAGACAGGGTTTCACTATGTTGGCCAGACTGGTCTCGAACTCCTGACCTCAGGTGATCTGCCCACCTCGGCCTCCCAAAGTGCTGAGATTACAGGCATGAGCCACTGTGCCTGGTCCCTATTTATAAATTCCCAGGCACCATCTGGGAGGTACTGGCTTAGCAGACTGAGGCAGGACTGACTCAGGGGAAGCTGAATGCCTGGAGTCGGGTACCAGACAGCCTCTGGGCAAGAAGAGGACAACCAAGAACACAGAGTCAGGAGGGGGAAAGGAATCCGCAGGACAGTATAGCAGCGTGAGTAAAAGCCTATGTTTATGGAGCCCCAAACACCTAGGTTTGAATCCTGGTTCTGCTACTTACTGTGTAATCTTGCATATATTACTTAATCTCTCTGAGCCTAATACTCCTCACTGATAAAATGAAGAGTTACTTCATGGGGCTGCTGGGAGAATGAAAATGAGATAATAATAGTGATCTATTCAGCAGAGAACCTTGTATGTGGCAAGAGCTCAATTAATGACAGCCACATAGTCACTGAGGTGGTGATGATGTCATTATAAGACTATTATTATTAATAGGATTGCCACTCTGGGCTGCTGAGATGTTGGCCACCACACTGCTGTTCTTTAAAGCAGCAGGGGAGAAGGTGGGGGCTGCATTTCTGAAGCTGTTTCTGCACAGTTTGCCCCTCTGCCTTCTGCTAACATCTCTTCCATCCCACAGACAACAGTCTCCAAGATTACAAAATGACTAAAAGTGACTGCCCCTTCTTGGAATTTACAAAGTTTTCTTTTTTAAAAAAGAACAGTTTAACCCTCATTGACTGAGACATGATAACTCTATTTATAGTCTAAAAGTCTGGCCAGAAGTTTGCTTTTTCACTGTAGCTGGGGGAAAAAAGAAGGTTGCTAAGCCAGCATAAACAAACTTTCACACAGTCGCTTACTACTGAGGAGAATCAGCTTCGAGATCTTCAGAAATGTCTGTTTTATACCGTATAAACAACTAGAATTTAGACAGGGAAGGCAGCCCTTAGGCTAGGCTTTGATAGGTCTATCATAAATAATTCTAGTTCCAAATTCTGAATTAAAACCAACCAAACAAAAAAAAAACCCAGCAGTAAAAACAAACTTCTCCCCAGGAGAGACACTCTGGAATGATGGCTCAGATTTCTCAATAACGTTGTTTCTTAATGCACATTAACATCCACGGGTAGAGCCTCCACTCGGTGCCAATCTGTCTTGAATGGCTTTCTTTGAAAGGCATACATCTTTCCTATATTAAGAAGGATGTGCACAGAGCGCAGGGCCACCTACTGAGGAGCACGGGGCTGGAGCAGCACCACGGACAGAGCTGATGAGGCCCTGCCGGAGCTCACAGACAACATGAAAACCACAAATCAAGGATTAAGAAATCCAGAGACTCTCTTGAAATGGTTTTTTTAAAAAAAAAAAAAAAAAAAAAAACCCTCAAGACCAAAACCCTGTGATTATTTAAAATGATCTAGCTCAAATGTTTCCTTCACTTGAAAGAAGCCTTGATCTAATTGAACACATCAGTGATCTATGCCTGGATATGTCATCTAGGCAGGAGTGGGGGCGTGAGATGGAATTTACCCTATTTTTAAAAGATCTCCAGGGAGGATGTCTTTTTAGAAACTTGTGTTAAAGTCTAATCATCTTTGCTATTAATTTTTGTATGTCCAATCTAATTTTTTCCTTTTTATTTTTTAAGACTATTTCTTCCTTTCGGTCTCTGAAAATTAAAAAGTAGTAAGGTTTGCTTCTAAATTATATGTGACAAGTTATCATGACATCCCTTACTGTTTATGCCTCTATGCAAAAGAAATCCAGTTCCTTCATATGCTGGACTCGATGCATGCCAAAAATCAGACATGATCGTCAGCAGCGGTTGCTAGGTGTGGTGGCTGATGACACGGGAGCTCTGGCTGTGCAGCCATGAAACCTTGTCTTTGGACCAACAGCCAAGCTGACTGTGGAAGCTGTGGGTGCTGCCTGTGACAGGCCTAAGGCAGTCTTCTAGTCCAATGGGAGCCACTGTTCCCCTCCACAGGATTTCTTCAAGTGGGCCTTCCTTTGCCTGTGTCCGTGGGATACTGTGCCTTCTGCATGCTCTGTGCTTTTTGCCTTAAATGAAACTCTTATCTTACGAGTTTGGCTGGGTTCACAAGTCCAAATGAAGCACAAATCAAAAATTGCAACTAGTCAAAATTATTCTGAAAAAACTCCCTAACTCAACTCGGTCAGTTGTTTTTTCACCAATGCTTGTGTGTGGTCATCAGTACCGTGAGACAGAAAGACTGCGCTCTCTACACCAAAGAGACTCTTCTTGGCCTTGAGGAAGTCACTGATCAGAATTAAATTATCAGTTTTTAGTTCTGCAAGTCTGGGTTTATTTGGTAGACCTTTCTTTTCATTCAAAATAGGCCCCAGGCATGAAATGGTTGGAAACCAATTACTGGGGCACATGAGAGACCAAAAATGGACTACGGTATTTTAACTGTATCCAACACATCCCAGTGTGTCATCTCATATATGACTGATCAATAAGAGTTTGGTGAATGATCAAATGAATAACTTTACCAATGATGAGAAGGGCTGAGAGGGATGGTCTGCTGAGCTGATTAGAGCACAGAAGTATCAAGATTGTGGCACCAGCATTCATCCCTAAGAAAGAACTCTGGCTCCATAGTCCAAAGCCTTCACTCATCAGTGTTTCCAGGTATTACTGAGGACCCACTGTGTGCCGGCAAGGTTTTCTGTGGCATTCTGGACACATGCTGTCACAACTGCCCCCACACTGGACACAGTAAGCTGAAGTGGCCTTGCTGAACTCTCTGCCAGATGGGAACTTCTGAGGACAGGGTACCTGTCCTATTCATGGCATTACTTCCAACGACAGCGCCTGGCACACAGCAAGTATTCAATACTACTTGAATGAATGAAGTTCAGAGCACTCAACGTCTCATCCTAGAACAGTATTTAACAAAACTTCCTCCTCCATACCATATCTATTCACCCTGTTCTGGGTTACTCATCCAAAGATCAGATAATCCCTGCTATCAGGATAATTCTTAAGATATTGCCCCTAACTCACCTTTTAGAAACTTCCTTGACACTTAGACTTTTTGTCCCCAAAATAATATTTCTTAGACACAAATGTGGCTGTCTTCTCCAGCAGGTACAAATTCCCATCCAGCTCTTTCATAAAATGTTTTCCAGCTTAGCTAAAACCCTTATTTTCAAGAAATGTCATCTCCCACTATGACTGAATCTTATACCTGGATACCTCTTTAGGAATTCCCTACCAAAGAGACATACCCTGAGGGCCCAGGAAAAGAGGGCCCCAGCAAGGAGTTAGTTGCAGGCATGAGAACCGGGTAATTTTCCTGTTGATGGTTGCCGATCTACCTCCTGCCCACCCACTATAATGACTCAGCTTCCCTGAGTCACTGCTCAACCACCAGCATCAGGTGACCACCTCAGGTACAAAGCCGTGGGTAGCTGGATAAAGGCAGCTTTTACCAGAGCCCCACACGTTCAAAGCATTATAACTAAGCCAACACTGGCTACCCTGTTAATCATGTAAACCCTACGGGAATAGGACGAAAATACCATCTGGATAGACACCGGTGATACAGTCAGCAAGGAGTGAGACAACACCACAAAACACAAGGTTAGAGGGAAGCAAATGACTGAGAAGCAGCCCTTAGCCACCAGGAAAAACCCCAAGGTAAAAAAGAAAGTAGCAGCACCAGTACAAAGAGAGGCACACAATTTTCCTTTAATTACCTTCAGACTTAGGACTAGGAGTAGATGCAGGAAACTGGTAGGTGGGAGTGTAAGGATTGTCCTCTGTAGCAGAGAAAAGCAGTGGATTTTGAAACTATCCACCAGGAAGTAGAGGAAGTGACAAATCCCAATTGACTCTTTTGAATGACTGATTACCTATTTTAGTGTTATTAAAGCACACGGGCATCACACTTAAAAACAGATTAATGAATTAGGAAGGATTTAGTTATTTTAACATAGCACATCATGCAAATGAGTGAAATAAAATTTTCACCAGCCAAAAACGACTATGAAAACAAAATCTAAAAGCCCAAATCTTATGCCTACAATGGAACTATAAGAATTAATTTAAAGCTTGGACAACAGATATGCTGTCTAAGTTTATGGTACCTTCAGAAGTTTGCTGGATTTCAGGAAGTTCAGGGAATTTGTACGTAGGGAAATAAGGGTTTTCTTCAGGAGTGTCTAGGCAGAGGAGCAGGTTTGGGAGAGAGAATAGAGGAAGATACAAATGGAGAGAATAAACGAGTAGGAATCCACATACAAGTTAGGCTCCTTGAATTCTGGAACATACTAAGCTTCACTAGTGATATGAAAGAAATTCAAACTGCTTTTAAAAATCCAGTCCTTTTGCCTGAATTACCAAGACACATTGAAAGAGACAATACCATTACTCTTCTTGTACAAAGAATTCCCATGAACAGGCTCCAATGGGCAAGAAACATTTAACATAAAGCTTCAGGTTCTTACTTTTGATAGGCAAGAAATATTAAGTATGATAATAAATAGTATGTAATAAACAAGCTATCCTAAAACGTTTTTTAAAATCAAAGCTTGTGTTGTGGACATTCGGCAAACAAGTAGATCATTAATTTTTCAAATACCTCTGCCTACCATTAAGGCACGTAGTTTTGTTTAGCACCTACAATTTAGATTAAGAACTATAACATGAGAAGACCAAAGCTGCCTGTGGGGCAAAATTACATATTTTGCACATTTACATGCATTCATGTCTCTGCAATTAGACTTCCAAAGCAGGGTCTAAAGGTGATAGAGTCACAGATTGCAAGAGGAAATGGGCAGTGACTTCAGGAAGTGATGAGTGGAGATGACCCCACCTGATCACAGAAATCCAAGCATTTAGTTTCACCACTGTGACCACGCTCATCCACCCAACCACAGTGGATTTACTCTTGACTTGGAAATGCTAAACGCCTCAATACTTGGAGCACTTCGATACTGAGAAATAGTTTGAACAGGGGCACACCCAGGTTCACTTTGAACCCAGAGGGAGTTAATTAACAGTGATGTTAGCTGGCATCTGCAGCTCATCAGACAGACTGGGCTTAGGTGGGAACACTGACCAGAACACTTTCTCTTTGCCTTCATGTGTCATCCATGCCAGGTAGCCAGACTGGATTTGGGTAAGGGGAAGGGCAGGATGCTTTGCCCGTGGGAGGAGTGGTACCCTTCCCATGGTGCAGGTACATCCTGCCTATCAGCTGACTGGCGGCACAGGCAGCGATGGGAGCCGGTAGGGTCACGTCCTGCCCAAGCACTGGCCTGCGATTCTCCATGCTGGGTCACCTGCTGATAGCCCAGCCGGCATCTGATTTGGAAGTGCTGCTCTTTCAGCTTGAGCGGGCTCTGGTGTGTCAGCTCCTGACTGACTCTCAGGGCTACCTGCCAAGGGCTGGCTCTCAGCTGGGGAAGATTGTTGTTCATATTAGCACAGCCTGAGAGGCGTACTATAAATTCTACCTCATAAGGCCAAATGTGTTCTCCTTTAGACCCTATGACATCCTCTGGAGGACGGGAAGCAGAACAAACACAGAAAGGTACATGATTGGTCCAAGGTTACCTGAGGGCTTGGGGGACTCAATCCAGGGGAGAACATTTTTTTTTTTTTTTGAGACAGTTTCACTCTTGTTGCCTAGGCTGGAGTGCAATGGCGCAATCTTGGCTCACCACAACCTCCGCCTCCTGGGTTCAAGTGATTCTCCTGCCTCAGTCTCCAAGTAACTGGGATTACAGGCATGCGCCACCACGCCTGGCTAATTTTGTATTTTTAGTAGAGATAGGGTTTCTCCATGTTGGTCAGACTGGTCTCGAACTCCCAGCCTCAGGTGATCCACCCGCCTCAGCCTCCGAAAGTGCTGGGATTACAAGCGTGAGCCACCGCGCCCGGCCAGAGAACAGTGTTCTTAATTCCCAGTTTGGTGCGTTCTCAACTCACTCCGCCCACAAGGCAGTCATGGGCTGACACAGGGAGATGTACCTAAAGCTGGAAGCAGGTGGGAGATGGAGCTGCTCACATCCCAGGCAGACAGATGCTGGAGCACAGGCACAGTGCTGAGCTCAGTCTGCTGCACTCCACATCTGGGAGGGAGGATTTGAGAGCAGATCTCAAATTCCAGCTCTGAGGCAGGCACACAAGTGCTTCCTCCCTATGCTCTGAAGGTACATGGCTGGGCTCAGGCAGACCAGTACCTAATGAGGTCCAACTGCAGGACCCAGTCTTCTGGCATCCTAGCAAAGTGAGTTCAGGCCCACAAAACAGTGTATTGGCACACAGCACAGCACAGCTTCTACAAATGAAAATCAGTACCTCTGTTTAGTTTGTGGATCTGTTTAAACATAGTCTTGTACCAGTCTTTTGATCTCTCAGTGTTCTGTAGAAAAATAAAGGCAAAGAGAAAAAGTAAATGAATATCTTGACACATTTCAGACCTATGATTTCAAAATCAAAATGGAAAGTAATGATATCTGAATTCAAAACTCAGCCACATTTATCTTTTTTAAAAAGGCAAAACTTTTTAGAAAGAGAAAACCAAGCATCCCAAACCTCAATCTACAGAGTAATATTTGACTGAAAGGATACAGAGTGTGAAAACAGTGGATGAGGATACACTTGAAAGGTATCCATTTTTAAATTTTTTAAATTTCATTTTTAGAGAGAATCTCTCTGTATATAGACTGTGCTAAACTGAAGGAAAGTCTCCTAGAAATATAAGAGACAAAGGATATTTGCTCATCATGCTGTGCCCCCACCCATTCTAGATTATTCAATAGCAACTTATCCGAGTCACCTTGCATAGGGCCAGATTTAGAATGCATACATTAAAACATAACTCATTACAGCATCCACTGCCAGAGTTTTCACCCTAACCACAAAGTTGGAATGGCTGGGTTTTTTTGTTTTTTTTTTTTTTAAGATAAAAATAAAACAAGGAAGGTGACAGACAGGTGGCTAGATATTTTCACTCCCACTTTACAGAAGAGAAAATGAGATACAGAATGACAAAGCAAACTGCCCAAAGTCACAGAGCTGATGAGAAGGTGAGTGGAAGGGCCATCCAACACGATGATTAGGGGGTAAGGGTTTGGGAGTCAGACAGACCATTCTGTCACCCACAAGCTGTGTAATCTTGGATGAGTAACAAATCCCTCTGAGTCTCTGTTTCCTCATCTATAAGATGGAAATGATATTAGTATCCATTACTTACTTGGGTGAGTGGTGCTTAAATGAGATAATGTACTCAGCAAATGGTAGCTGTGATTTCTCTTAGGAAGAACTCTCCTTCTATATTACTGCTTAGGACCAGAGAAGAGTTATTTTGAGGCTTAGCCCACTGTGGTTTCAATTGGCCTCCTCCAAAAGGACACATTTGTTAAATGGAATTCACAGTGGAACATATTGCAGGCAATGGTCTGATAGACACACGGAAAAGAACGGAATTCACCCGAATCCAGTTCCAAAAGTTGCCCAGCTTTAGGTTAAATGTTTCTTGCCCATCGGAGCCTGTTCCCTGGAATTCCTTAGGGCCTGCAGGACTGGCAGGCCTGTGTTGCTGGGGAGAGCTGGGTCAGGGATGCCACAAGACCTGCTCTGTCCTGGAGGCTTGGCTGGTGGAATCCATTCTGAGGTTCCCTTAGTGTTCCCTACTCACTAGGGATGACACGTGATCTCCCATCCAGGGAGATCTTCTTCCTGAACCTGTCAATAGGGACCTTGGGCCTCCCACTCTCCCCAGGATTGTCTAACCCTAGACCAGGAATTTCTTAACATGCATCACACAGAACAATAATGAAGGAAGACTGCCCATAACATTGTCCCTAGAACACTTACATACTCAAAGCCTCTGAAAAGTTCTATAGCAGAGAAATCTCTCTGACTTGGTCCCACTCAGCTTTTCCTCACATTTACTTGACCACGAAATGCTTTATTCATAGGACTTATAACATCCAACACCCACTTTGGGAAAAGCTGTTGTACACCAAGTCTGGAGCACAGCTCCTGGGGGCTCAGGCACTCATGGGGCTTATAGAGATGATGGTGTGATGGGGTTCACATGTACTCAGGGTGTACACTTGTCACAGCTTAAGATGAAGCCTAAGAAGGACCTCTAAGTGTACCCGGAGGGGGATGCCCACTTCATCCATGGAAACATCGCTTAGGTCCTGAGCGCTCTTCACCACCCGCCTACTGTCATCCTTTGCTCTTTTTTCAGCAGCCCTGCCAGGTGAGGTGGGTTTTTCCTGGGTTGGTGCTGAGTCCTGCTCTCCCACTCTTCTTTCTGAGACAGGATCTGGAAATGAAAAGCAATTGTTAGCTGAAGCTCTTTTGGTAGTGGCAAAGCAAAACACTCCTGAACAGGCTAGCTAGGGGGAAGTGTATCTGCTAATTCTCAACTGGAATTAGTTCTGCTTAGAGCAGGGCTCAGCAAACTTTGGCCTATGGGCTGGTTTTACTGGAATATAACCATGCCGATTCCCTTACATATTATCTATGGATGCTTTTGCACTACTATGGCTGAGCTGAGTAGCTGTGACAGAAACCATATGGCCTGCAAAGTCTAAAATATTTATTATCTGGTCCTTAAAAAAAAAAAAAAAAGGCTTGCCAACAGTGTGATCAGAGCTTTGCAGAGAGGTATGCACGTCGTGCTCTGTCAACTGAGTAGTTCTGACTGTTCTAGAAATTCAGGAACAGGTAGAACCACAGGAGGGGGCTAAACATTACTTGAAAGTTTTTGATTCCTCTTGAGGAAGTCACTTAACTTTTCTGTGCCTCAGTTTTCCCACCCAAAAACAGGGATAATACTTCTATTGGCAAACTCACAGCAATGTGGCGAGAGGAGTTATCAGGGTAACTTATGCCAAAGTGTTCAGGAAGCTGTACATTTCTAAGTGTACATTATAGATTATTTTTGTTCAAGATTGGAAGTTATAGAACACTAATAAAGATAACCAGATATGATCTACAGATTATAAAATTACTTAATAGAATCTGGCTTCCAAGTTCTGACATTTATTTATTGGGCAGACATTGTGCTCTGCCTTGTGGACATGAAGGTGAGCATTCCAGAATCTTAGCCTCAGGGAGCTTACAGTCTAGTGGGCAGAAAACCAAGTGAGCCAGCAATGAGAATGCAAGGGTGACAAGGCCTGACTCTCATAGAGAAGCCAACCAGGCCCACAGGAAAGGAAGGGTGCTCCAGAGGAACAGCTTAAATAAACACTTGAGGGCCTCTGGACTACTGGGCTAATTATGTGCCAAGCAATGCACTAAACTCTTCATAGACATTCTCTCATTTTATCGTCCCAAAGATCCATGAGGAAGAAACTATTATCACCTTTTTTTTTTTAAATAATTAAAGGATCAATACACAGAGAAGTTAAAGTACCCTGCCTGGGGCCACATAACCAGCTCGTGGCCAAGCTGTGATGTGGCCTAATGTCCACCTGACTCTAGCAGTCCTCTCTGAACCACATCCTGTCTTGCCTCCTTCAAAGATAGTACCAAGGTTTCAAGTCTGGGAGCCTGGCCTAATTCAAGGAGAAGTTAGAATTGGGTTGGGAAAGGGAGGGAGAAATGGCTGCTTCCATTTGGACCATGGTAACTCTGAGAAGACAGCAAGATACTCAAGTAGGAATGCCCTAGAGACCCCTAGAGGAAATACGAAGGGGCCCAGGTGAGACACCCTGACAGGAGTACAACTTTGGAGGCATCAGCCCAAAAGTGATGGCTGATGCCAGGGAGATGGCAGAGCTCAGCGGGGGACAGAAGCAAGGGCAGAGTGAAGCGCTAAAGTCATGCATGGAAGGACACCATAGTTATAGCTGCAAGGCAAAAGAATCCCCAAAGGGATGCAAAGTCATCCAAGGGACAAGAGGCGAACCAGGAAAGTACACAAGGTACCAGTGAACCAGGAAAGACAGAACTCCAAGAAGTGGGTGGTTAAATGTCTCAAAAAAAAAAAAAAAAAAAAAAAAAAACACCCAGAAATTGAAGCAGAGGAGGAGGCGGCATTAGATTAGGCAAGAGAGAAGTCACAGGAACACTCTGAGGGAGCAACTTCAGGAGGGCAGTGGGGGTGGGTGCCAGATTGCAGGGAAAGGGTTGAAGGTATGAGCAGGAAGTTGGGGGAGTGAGTGGGGAGTTCAGCACAGAGGAAGGAGTGTGCTAGATGGTAATTCAAGAGTTCAAAAGATTAGGGGCAAAAAGGTTTAAGCCGGCTGGGTACCGTGGTTCATGCCTCTCAACACATTGGGAGGCTAAGGCAGGAGGATTCCTTGAACCTAGGAGTTCAAGACCAACCTGGGTAACATAGCGAGACCCCATCACTACAAAAAATTAAAAAATTAGCCAGGCACATGCCTGTTGTTCCAGCTCTTGGGAGGCTGAGTTGGGAGGATCTCCTGAGCCTGGGAGTTCGAAGCTGCAGTAACCCATGATCATGCCACTACACTCCGGCCTCAGCAATAAAGCAAGACTCTTGTCTCAAAAATAAATAATAATAAAAAAGTTTAGGCCAAGGGAGCCTAAAATCCTATCAGTGAGAGTGAGGCCCATGAGGTAGGGATGAAGGGCATCAAGACGTGCTATGGCAATTAGTAAGTGCTCAGTTAAAACCTGCTTATTGATTGACTGCGGACAGGTTCTCATCTTTGAAAAAGGAAAAGGTGCAGACTGCTGACTGGGGGAACTACGCTTGGGTGAAAAGGAAGAACATGAGGACACAGGCAAAGTTGTGAGAAAGTCAGATGTCTGTGAGTGGAGGAGACACTGGAGAAGTGGGGGAAACAATGACTTCAGCATGCTAAGGTTTTACAACTTTCAGTCTCCTCCATGGGGAGACTGCCTACAGCCAAATGATTTCTAAGCTTAGTAAGTGCTTCAGAAAGCCTGATCCCTGGCATTATCACCGTCAATGTCAAACGATGTTAAGACCAGATTGGCTTTATGGAATGAATTCTCATGCTCCCAGAAAATTCCAACGTGAGGCCAAGGATTTGGCAGGAAGCCTGGAAGCGTAGAGGGATTTCAAGTCACCCGAGTCTACCCTTAATATGGCTCTGCTGAGCATTCTCCTCCCACCTGGAAGGGCCTTCTGTTGAACGTGAGCAGAAAAGAGGCTGAGTTCAAGCTCAATCTTACATGGTGATTTAAGATCATGGTGAGGATCACAGACATGCCATTCTCAGGGTCAGGGCAGGTGGCTCTAACAACAACCACATTTGAGTGCAGAAATCAGGCTGATAGTTCATGGATTTCTCCTAAAGCTGTCAGAGTCCTTTTGATCTACAAAATTTAGCCCTGAATTATTTTACTTGAGAAGCTTGTGGTCATGAGACTCATCATTGAGTGGATTTCAATATACAGAGAGTCCCTGAAGAAAAAGTGTCACTTTATATCATGAAAACCCAAAGTGAGACTTAACTGTACCATGCAGGTGACAGGATCAGGCGTTGCCATCCATATTACAATGAGGGCTTGCTGTTTTCTCAGTAGGAAAATGCCGATCCTTCACATGACATCCTGGGGGCATTTCCTTCTAGTCTTTTTTTTTTTTTTCTAATTACACAGGGTCTTGTTCTCTTACCCAGGCTGAAGTGCAGTGACATGATCATGGCTCACTGCAGCCTCAACCTCCCTGAGCTCAGGTGATCCTCCCACCTTTGCCTCCCAAGTAGCTGGGACTACAGGTGTGCACCACCACACCTGGCTAGTATTTTGTGTTTTTTCGTGGAGATGAGGTTTTGCCATATTGCCCAGGCTGGTCTCAAACTCCTGGGCTCAAGGAATCTGCCCATCTCTGCCTCCTAACTGCCCACCTCTGCCTCCAGAAGTGTTGGGATTACACATATGAGTCACTGCACCTGGCCCCAGCTAATTTTTTGTATTTTTTTTTTTATAGAGACGGGATTTCACCATGTTGCCCAGGCTGGTCTCAAACTCCTGAGCTCAGCCAATCTGCCCACCTTGGCCTCCCAAAATGTTGGGATTACAGGTGTGAGGCACTGCAAATCTAGCCTCCTTCTAGTTTTATACTGTGCTTTAAAAAGGAAGGTTCTGGGCCACTAAATAAATGACAATACTGACAACCTCAGAAGGGGCCTCCGTTTGTAGGAGATGGGATAGCCTCCCTTCTCTTCACACTGAGAGCTGATGACTGAAGATTATAGCAATGTTCATACTTCTCTGCAGAAGAATCATGGCCTCTCTACACCTTATGCCAACCTCTCTCTCCTAGCCCTTATCTTATTATCCCATCTGTCTCCCCAAGGGGACTGAGAGGTACCTGAGAACACCATGTAGGCTTCATACCCAGATGACTCTCCCTGAACATCAAGCCCCATGGAGGCTCAACAAAAATCTGCTACAGAGAGGGAGGCTGGCAGTCCTGGAGACCCATCCCCACAGGTGATGGCTAAGCCTTACTTGCTCTAAGAGACTAGAGAGTGCCAACCCAGCCGGCCCTCTCTCTTTCAGGAGCTCCTGAACACAGCAGTACTACTTCTTTTAAAGCATAAACTAATATTTAGTGAGCACCTACTTTAGGCCCCACTCTTTCAAACATCATCAGTGGATCTGTCCCAAAACTCAGGGAAAGCGATGGCATCAGGCTTGTTTTAGAGCCAAGGAATAAGCCTGAGCTACCAGCACAGTGGAGCCACCCTGGCTTTTTTTTGTTTTGAGACAGAGTCTCACTCTGTCACCAGGCAGGGGTGCAGTGGCGCGATATCAGCTCAATGCAACCTCTGCCTCCCAGGTTCAAGCAATTCTCCTGCCTCAGCCTCCTGAGTAGCTGGGACTACAGGTGCACACCACCACACCCGGCTAATTTTTGTATTTTTAGTAGAGATGGGGTTTCACCACGTTGGCTAGGATGGTCTCCATCTCTTGACCTCGTGATCCACCCGCCTCAGCCTCCCTAAGTCCTGGGATTACAGGCGTGAGCCACTGCGTCCCGCCCACCCTCGCATTTTTACTGTCTTTTCTCAATGCACAAAACATCCTCCCACTTCCTATCACAATAACACCTCCTCCAGGCTGAGCAAAGGATTACCACCCTTGTTTCCCATATGAGGAAACTGGCTTAGAGGAATGAAGTCACTCACACAGAAACATAGCTCCAAGAAGAAGGAGCTAGGACCAAACTCTGTATCTCCCAATGTGTGGCTGGAGGCCTTTTTCAGCTGTTCTACCCTTCTTTCAAATTCCCACCAACAGGAAGGAGCCCACAGGAGCCACCTTTTTTTTTTTTTTTCAGAGCCACCACTCTTAGCACCTTGCCTGGGACCAAGGAATGAAGTGGGCTGGAGAGTGGCAGCTGGAGGAGGGGCAGCCAAGGACACCTTGAGGTCAACCACAGACTGTCTTGGTCTCACAGCCAAGTCCTGATAAGGCTGCGAGGTGTGAGAACCCCATGTCCTCCCCATCCAGGCTGGCCACCAATCACAGAACAGCAGTGGCATGAAGTTGCAAAGGAATCATGTAGCAGCTGTTCAGAAAACAGTGGCTTTTGTTATCTACCAATCAGGGATTCTTAACCCTGAAGTTCATAAGTATGTGCAAATCCATAGAAATCATGTGTACATGTTTACACGTGTGTGGTTTTTTTTTAATTTTTTTTTATTTTTTTGAGAATCAATCTATTCCCTTCAATAGTTTCTCTCGAAGAGTCCATTAACAAAGAAAAGTTACACCACACTATTAGCAGCTCAAGGGCAGCACAGTTCCCCGATGTAGCCTCAGAGTCCGGGACAGTGCAGGATACAAAGGAGGCCCTGAATACAAGGGTAAGTGAACCCACAGAGCGCCGCCTGGTAACAGGAACGCACACCTATTAAGCCACGTATCTGTGAAGCAGCAGCTCAGGGCTGAGCTGTTAATGAGCAGAATCTCATTTGATCGTCATACAACCTGGGAGGCACTGCTGCTTTCCTCACTTGACAGTAAGAAAATGGAAGCCCAGAGACATTAGATAACCTGCCTGAGGCAGCACCAGACCCAGGATTCAAAGCAGAACGGCTACAGGAAGCCACAAGGAAATAGCTACACATTCCCCTTCCTGGGTTCCCTCCCCGCTCAGACATGGTCCCAATCCTCCACACTTTATCAGGGGTGAGCTAATTATATTTGTATATGTCTGATTATATTTGCAGTCACTCCCCACCGTCGACTCTTGCCACCTGCCACACTCAAGTGTGGTCAGCACAGAGGGCAGCACTGGCATCACCAGGGAGCTGGGCAGAAATGCACATTCTCTTGGCCAGGCACAGTAGCTGGTGCCTGTAATCCCAGAACTTTAGGAGGCTGAGAGGGGAGGATTGCTTGAGGTCAGGATTTGAGACCAGCCTTGGCAACATAGTGAGACTCTAGCTCTACTAAAAAAAAAGAAACTTTAAAAAAACTAGCTTGGCATGGTGGAGCACACCTGTAGTCCCAGCTACTCAGGAGGCTGAGGTAGGAGGATCACATGAGCCCAGGAGTTCAAGACTGCAGTAAACTATGACTATGCCACTGCACTACAGCCTGGGTGACAGAGCAAGACCCTGTATCTACAAAAAAAAAAAAAAAAGAAAGAAAGAAAAGAAAAGGAAAGGAAAGAAAAAGAAATGCAAATTCTTACCCATACCCATTAAATCCAAATCTCTAGGGGGATGGCCCAGGAATCTGAGTTTTGACAAGCTCTCCAGGAATTTCTGTATGCCAGATCAAGTTCAAGAAGCAGTTTTCTCACACTGTCTTCTGGGCACTGCTGGTCTAAAGGTTCTCACCTGGACCCACCACCCCATGGGCATCTCTGGCATTTGGGCTTGCCACCCAAAAAGGAGAGAACTTGCCCACATCTCCTAACCCCTGACTCCTCACATCCCAGAAGGGAGACAGAAGCAGCAGAAAGATGACCTCTTCAGAGAGGCCTGCCATGAACACTGCATCTAAAGCTGGACTCCTGGTTCTTTTTAACCCAGAACATCCTGTTCTTACCCATCAAGGCTCTTATCACAGTTCCATGGGACATGTTTATTAGTGTGGCTCACTGGTCTGGTCTGTCCACCACCCTGCAAGCTCCAGGGAGGCAGGAACTATGCCTATTTTCATCATCTTGGTAGTCCATCAACAAAGAGTCTCCCAAGACATCAGAGGATCTCGGAAGATATTGCTGATTGAACATCGGGCGGTGACCGGAAGACGATTTCAACAGGAATGGGGTTAACACATAAATAAATATTTCTCACCTACCTGAAAGGCTACTGAGTCGTTTTTGCTGTTCTGTGATAAAAGAACACACAGTGTAAGTAAGATTTATACAGCACATAGTAAGACCAAGAAGCCCTGGCATAACTTGTTAGGATCTCAACCCTGAGTCCTCACTGTCCTCTGGACTTAGATGGTACAATGTGCATGCAGTCAGCTGACTGCTGGGGTATTAGTGTGGCTCCCATTATGCCAGTGTGGTGTCTCCCAGCCCGCCCCGCTTCCAGATCTGCACCAGGATTCAGGGGACTGCCACAATTTTCTAGTTGTTTACATATTTCAAGTGGATTCCATAATAGAAGGGAATCCACCCAACCCTCCAACTTCAAGTGAGCAAGACCTTATATGACCCCAGTCTTCGTACTTTTTGAGGGAAATGTAATTATAAACACAACCATGTCAGTGACTATCTCCTGAGAGCTTGCTAAATGCCAGACGCTGTTTTAGGGCTTTTACAAATAACACTTGTAAACTTTGCAACAACTCTAGTAGTTGGGTACGATTATTCTTTCCCATTGTACAGAGGAGGAAACGAAGGCCTAGCCTTAGTCACGATAGTAATCTGGCTTGTCCAGAGTACAAGAGAAGTCCTTAAAAAATCAGCAATGGCCAAGAAACTTCAGATAAGGGGCACAAATCGCCCAAGAGAACACTGAAAATCAGCTGGATCTAGAACCTAGGTCCCTGACTCCTAGTCCATAGTTCATTCCAATTCTAGTCATCAAGACCTTGCTGGTCCTTGGCATTGAAGGGCTATTGGTTTCTTGCCATCCTGGGCACTCACATGGAAGGTAAGCCACTATCTCCTTTGTGGAGTCCTATGTGTACGTGCTATGAGATGACAGCACAAAAATGACCTTTACCTTCCACAGCTGCTAAATATAAAGCAGCCACATAGATAAAAATAGAATGCTTGCCAACCCGCGGGGACTGTCACCATTCCGCTTGGCTGCATTCCCACCCTCCTGCTACAATCAGTGTGAAGCAGAAGTAAACAGCGGACAGCCCAGGAGCTCACAGCCTGGGAAGCGGTGCCTGGCCACCTCTGCCATGTGGACGAGGTTCGTACTGGCTGAATATGCAGAAGCCCAGTGCAGCTCTGGCCTCAGCTCTGCCAGCAACTTTCAGATGACAATGGCCAATCCAATAAATCTCTTGGCCTCAGTTTCCTTGGTTATGTCAAAGGGCCCTATTGGTACTAAGGGGACCTATGGTTCCCACACACTATTCTGAAGGCTGCTGAGCTCCAGCTGGCAGAAGTGAATGTACTCCACTTAAAAGACCATGTTACTAACACAGTGAAACCCCATTTCTACTAAAAAATATAAAAATTAGCCAGGTGTGGTGGCACACACCTGTAATCCCAGCTACTCCAGAGGCTGAGGCACAAGAATTACTTGAACCTGGGAGGCAGAAGTTGCAGTGAGCCAAGATCGTGCCACTGAACTCCAGCCTGGGTGACAGAGAAAGACCTTGTCTCAAAAAAAAAAAAAATAAATGAATGAATGAAAAAGACCATGTTGGCCAGGCACGGTGGCTCATGCCTGTAATCCCAGCAATTTGGGAGGCTGAGGCAGGCAGATCCCTTGAGCCCAGGGGTTCAGGACTAGCCTAGGCAACATGGTAAAACCCCGTCTCTACAAAAAATATTTTAAAATTAGCCAGGTGTGGTGGCACACGCCTGTAGTCCCAGCTACTGGCATCGAGAGGCTGAGATGGGAGAATCACCTGAACCTGGGAGGTTGAGGATGCAGTGAGCCATGACTGCACCACTACACTCTAGCCTCAACAACAGAGTGAGACCTTGTCTCAAAAAACACACAAAAAAGACTATGTTGTCTCCAGTTTTGAGGTGTGAAATGGCCTTTCTTTCATAGGATGACATGCAACACAGAAAACAGCAGCCACTTTCTACTGGTGTTATTTTAAAGCATTAGAACGAAAAGCCCTAGGGTGATCCCTAGACTGCTTCATGTATCCATAAGTCTGGGAACCTCTGAGCTCTAGTTCTTAAAGTGGTTTGTGGGCCAGTGGCACTGGCATGCCCAGCAAGCTCGCTGAAAACGTAGAATCTCGTCTCCTCCACCCCAAACCTCTCGAGGTTGAACCTGCAGGTTAACAAGACTCTCAGGATCCGATGCACATAGACGGAGAAGCCCTAAAGCAAGGGGACCCACGCACCTCTTTTCATCCTGACAGCTTTCCGATTCAAAGCCTCCCTCCCAGACAGATGGTAAGTGACTCGCCTTCAAACCCATGCGGTGTGAAAACTCAGGAAAGAGGGGGAAAGGGCTGTGTTGTTCACAACCATGAGCGCCAGGCCAGAGGCTCAGTGCCCCTGTTTCCAGCAGGGGGAAGCTGTCCGGGAGAGACAGGATTATTGCCACACTATGCCCTGGGACAGTCTAGGCAAAAAAAAAAGGGCGGGGAGGGAGGCATTTTTTAGGATGACAAAACTAGAATTCCAGAAGTGGAGTAAAGTTATTCCCTCAGGAGACTTTGCAATAGTTAAGAAATTATTTTTATGGGTACTGTTTATGAAGCAAAGTAGAGCTGCCAGGTTAGGCAAATTCCAAAGCAATGCCAAAAACACTTGACCTAAACCCCATTTATGATTAGTAATACGGGGCTGGGCCAGTGAGGCTCTTCTATTCTTCTCGACTCTTCCTGCCCTACCTGCTTAGTGAACATATGGTTTTGCTCTTTATGGAAATCTATCATTTAATTCCAAAAAAAGAATGCCATTACTTGTATCCTTTTCTGAAGGATGCGTGTCTCAGGCTGCACAGTTCTGATTTTCAAACCCAAGGGCAGGACTTGGACAAAAGAGAAAGGCAAGAACCAAAGGCATTTGGGTAAATAAAAGGTATCCATCTATTCAAGGAAGAAACAAAAAGGAACTACAGGCATTTCTGTGCCCAAAGATGTCTCACTAGGTGCCATCAGAGGGACTTGGCAGAAGCAGCTGACATTACACTTGGCATTTCCCAAAAACCAAGTTGCCTTGAGAATAAATCCCATTTTTAAAGAAACTGCCTGTCCTTCTGGGAACTAACTTAATTCTGTTTGACTGCATTTTTTTTTTTTAAATATGAGTCACAAGGAAGTTCAGAGAAACAAAATTTCACTTTGTCCCGCATTACAGACACTTTCTGGGCAAGGAGAGCCACTGCCAGTAAGGGGCATGGCACCGCTGAAGCAGAATGGGCTCCCGCATGGTTCCGTGTGGGAGCTGGGGCCCTTTTTCTCTTTTCAAGAACCCAGATTCATGCATGAAAATTAATACAGGAGCCATACACAGTGAAAAAATAACCAAACTACTAAAACAACCTTAAGATTTTAGTGAAAGATTTGAAGTGAAAGAAAATGTTTTATTCATCTGCTTTTCAAGTTAGAAGCAGGAAACAGAAAAACTCTATTTAGTATGGAAAACAATTAAAAATAGACTCCAGTCCCATTCTCATTCAAATTAATGCAGAGAGGAAGGAGGAGGGGGGGAGGAGTGGAGGAAAACTATGAAGTCAGAGAGCACAGAGTCAAAAGGAAGATGTGAGCTCTGAACAAAATAATTAAACCTCCACTGTTATCGGAAATTCAGACTAACAAGCCTTTCTACACGAGGAAACAGCTTGAGAACCTTACATTTCATGCTGCAAAGGACTTTTGTAAAGAGAAAATTTATTCCTGTATGGAATTCCAAAAAGGAAAGTTTGGGATTTAGAATCATCGTCTGGAATTTAAAAGCAGAAGAGTCAACATATACCCAAAGAACTTCCGCTTCACCCCACCTCAAAGCTTCTCTGCTTTTCAGAGAAGCAGAAAAACCAGCCGGAAGCAGTCAGAGACACTACAGAAAACAAACGCGAAAACTCTAAGCAGGGCTGCCTAGAGCCACATAGTACAGAGACAAACAGCTGGCAAGAATGAAGGCCAGTGAGTCGTCAAGAAAAATTCAATAGTCTCTGTTTTCAAGGCACAAAAACATGTTTTACATTCCACAAAATTTTCTACACAATATGTTTTCTTTTCTAAATTTGATACTAAAAACTCTGCTCTCTCTAAATTTCATCATGTCAAAAAACTAAATCATTTAAGATACTACTTAAAAGAGGTATTATTGTACCTAGATTTTCAAAGCTAAATTTCTATTACCATCAAGAGACCAAACTTTTTCCTTTCTTCTTTTTTTGGTGTTACGATTTGAAGAAGACAACCATGAACACCCAAGGAGTGGAACGAACCCAGCTTACTTATTCAGACACCTGCCATCACCTCAAATCAGGGGCCTCTGTCTATCTGCTGGGGTTTATTTTATGGGCCACGAGAGTGAGTAAACTGGGGCAAATGACCTTGGGAAACAATGGGATTTGTGAAAATTTCTGTGAAATAACAGAATTTTTGACCCAGACAGATATCATGGAAGAGCTATGTTGATTCCAGTGGGCTGGGAGTGGGGCACCAGCCTCTCTTACCTCGATTGTGCTGCAAGAGCACAATAGTCGGATTGACAATCGTTGTGGAGGGATAGGCGGATGAAGGCTTGCTAACTGGTGGAAAGGCTTGGGAATCAGTTCCAATAAGGGAAGAAGAAACTTCATTTAGTAGAGGACTGGAATCCTGAAACGAACAAACAAACAATGTAACTAACTGTAAATATAAAAAGCTAGTGTTAATGTTTTTTAAAAAGAAGAAATTTAAAGCTTTACAATGATCTTAATTATAAAAAGAAATGCAATCAATGAGACACATCATATCATTAATTCCAGTTAGAAGGTTCAGTTGGAATGTTTATTCTCTTTGTTGGTATTAGTATGGGGCGGAGGAGAGAGGGAAGGTGAATGTTACTGCAAGTCTCAGCAACATCATTCATTAGGTCCACCTGCTAACAGTTGTGGGTCAATCCGGTTACTGAAAAAACAAATTCAAATCCAAGGAGAATAACATGCAAAAACCATGCAATTCCAAATGCGATCCAAGAACAAGAACTGGTTTAATTGGGAAAAATCAGGGAAGTTTAGTACTCTGTACAGAGAAATGTAAGACAATGTGAGGACAAGAAGACATCAAGTAAGAACAGGGAGGAGTTGAGCAACAGTTTTTTCAGAAAGCTACCCTTGGCATCAGCATCACTGAGCAATTTTACTGATGTTTGCTTCTGAGATTTGGATATTATCCTATCCTACTGTGACATTTTTTCACTCTCATATTAAAGTGACAAAGATCCCTAAGACTTGTGAGAATCCTGACTTTAAAAACCTGAGGTCTCTGCCAGAAATACCAATAAAATTATTAATACTAAAATTATAAGCTGCATATTGGGGATAATGCCAGTCTTTTAAAACAAAGTAAGACCCCAAAAGGTACTAGGGATATTTAGATAGTTTCCTTCATGATATTTATACATTTCTATTTTTGAGTTTATAACCCATAAATTGAGGATGCTTTTCTTAAAGGGCTTTAAGAACAAGATTTTGATAGTTACTTTTAAAGCAATAATTATCTGGAAGCAATAATCAGAGATCAACTCCTGTGAATGTACCCACAGGATGAGGGCCACCCCCTCATTCACACCTAGCTCAATGCCCTGCAGATAGCAGGTGCTAGTAAATGCCACGTGAATGACAGGCGGCATCTTTCAGCAATGGTGTGTCTGAGCAAATGTTTGTAGCAAGAAAACAAATGCTTATCAAAAGAGGATATAGGCATCAGCACCCAGGACAGCTCCTGACACACAGTAGGAACTTCACAACACTGCCTGGGTCAGTCAATCTCTTCTGATAGTCTGCTAAACAGCCGCCACTATTTAGTTATGAGGGGCAGCTCAATTTCATAAATAAAACCTTTTCTCAAGACTTGAGAAGCACAGTATGATTTTATACAAAAGTGCCTCACCTTGATTCCTCCATTTAGAAAGTGGAAAATAATTACACTTTTCCTAATTTATCTCCAAAGTGATATAATTATGATAAATGACATATCATTAAAAACTGCCTGAATGCATCCAAGAAACACAAAATATCAGGCATACAGCTCTTTAAAGTATAAATGCCTAATGTGATGTTTGGGTGGATCATATGAGCATTAAGCTCTTTACAAATTTTACTTTGTGTCTTATTTCTGGAACATCACAAAAACAGCTATTGACTAAAATAACTCAAATCAATTAACATGACTTTTATTCTTCCTTCTTTCTCTCAACTAGCTACAGATGGAGCAGGCATCAGTTCACAGCTCAGACACCATCCACAGGGGTTCTTCCTCTGTCAAGAGGAATCCAAGTAGTTTCCTTTTTCACCTCTGTTTCCCAGGGCCAAACCCGAAGCTATCAGGCCAACTGAGGTCCTTCTGGGAGCTCTACAACAGGTTGATTAGTCAGGTTTGAGACATCGAGGACACTGTCCCAACTAATCTGTCCTGGTACACCTAAAACCAATTTGATATGAAAACCTAGGTCTACACAAATGATAAATTATAGGATACACAATTAAACTACTCACAACGGTCTATGAGGACACTAAACATAAGACTCACTTTACCCTACTCCAGACAAACATAATCCACGTCAAAGGGAAGATGCCTGCATTCCCTAAACAAGAGTGGCTTCTAAATTCTAAGTTCGGCTGAAGGTAGAGGGGAATAGATTGGGGAACAATCTAGCATTTTTCTCCAATGGGGCTGAGCTGCAAAATTCAAAGCTAGAAGGATATCCAAGCCCATGGGCCACACTGGGCCTGGTGCTGACCTAACTATATTGCACAGCACTAGAGATTTCAGAACAGGCTGCAGCTCAGGACCTAACAGTTCCCAGCTTTGATGTGCTTGATGCCTCATTATAATTTATCTAACAAGCCAAATAAAAAGTTTCCTTCCTGCTTTCTGCATGACTGGCTTCAGCTTAACAAGCCATTTGGAACAGTTTTGCAGGCATACATCTTTACACGAAGGGATGTCAGTAAACGCTTAGTTCCATCAGCCAATTGCATGACCCACTAGATGACTGTATCTCAAAGTGTAGTGTGTGGACCCCAGCATCTGAAAGCCCTGAGCACTTGCTCCCAAGAGAGATTCCCAGGCTCTTCTCCAGACCCACTCAGTCAGAAATTCTAGGAGTATAACCTGCGGGTGACGATTTAAACAAGGCTCCCTGACCCTCAGATGATCCCACGTACACAAAGCTTGAGAAGTGACCTCCTACTCCAAAAATTCCTTTGGAACAAGACCCTGACTCATGGTTGTGCCCTGGGTACTTAGCAGAATGTCTAGACCACAGTAGAAACTCAATGATGAATTGTTAACTAACCAGTTACTTGCTTTTGAGTGACCCTGGCCCTCATTTGCCATGGCAAGTCCTCAGCAACATAGCTAACATTCACTAGGCACCTTCTCTATGTCAAGCCCCATAACAGGAACTTTTACTACTCGGTCCCACTGAACCCACAGCCCTGTGAGTAGATTCACGTATCCCCATATTACAACTCGCACTGAAGTTCTCAGATCCTCTCAATTCCCAGGGCTCCTAAGGAAAAAGGAGACCCAAGCACTTTGACTCAGCTTTTACTCTAAAGCAGTTGGGCTTTCCCGGCTGTGATGGGAACTCATTCCCTCACCCGCAGTATGGGACCTGAGGCATCAGGGCCCTTTGACTTCCTGTGGCCACTGGTGCGCTGTTTTGCCACAAAGGCTCCTGGGGCCTCCTCCTCAGGGGCCCTAGCAATTGCCTGCCTTTTGAGGTAAAAGTCCTAACATCTTCTGTACAGGGCTTTCAGACCCACTTGCTCACTTAAACCCAACTCACTAAAAAAAAAAAAAAAAAAAAAAAAAAAAATCCTAGTCTTTGTCATTTCTGCATACTACAGAGAGTTTATTTGTTTATTTACTCTCTAGGTCAACATGAGAATCTCTTCCTCCCGAGATCTCCCCACTCTCCCTGGCAAATAGCACCCACCACACCTGCCGTTGCTTTTCCCCATAATTCTTCAGCTTTCCTCAGCTCTCTACATGACCCCCGACCTGGCCTGTGGAGAGCATGGCCAGTCAACATAAAGGCCACAGATGTTGTCTTCAGAGGGAGAAAGATGTGCATTCCCAACAGGACAGAGCAGACGAGGCACTGCAGAGATGGGGAACAACCCGAGAGACTCAGGGAAGACACACGGGAAGCATGCACGCTAGTGACAGGGGACACGGCTCCAGTCATCACGCAGGCACAGCGGCAGCCAGTGCTGTCCTCAGAGCTCAGAGCTTCAGTGAGAAAGGGAATGTGACTGCTGGGAGGAGACATTCAGAAAAGCCGTGAGGAGGGGAGTCCGGCAAGCTTACGGTACTCGAAACAGCTCCCGTGAGGTCAGGCTCCGAGACTCTGCGGAGGTCCTCCGGGGCAGGAGGGACCAGTGGAGGTGGTGGTGAGAAGGATGGTGGCGTCTGGCTAATGGGGGCAAAGGAGCCAGAGGCGCGGGCTGGCTGGCTGTGGTGGGACCACCTCTGCAGATGAGGGGGAATGAAATCATCTAGAGTCGGGAAGGTCAGAGGTGAGGCGGCAGAGGCGGTCGCTGGGATTGTGGGGACGCAGCCAAGAGGCCCCAGAGGTGCTGGAGGTCTGGCAGTGCCTTCTTGCCCTCTGTCAGTATTAACCAGGTAGAGAGGGACAACTATTACCTCCGGCTGGGCTGCACTGGAGGAAGTGGCATCCTGTGGAAATAAGGGGGTCGTTATGGAAAGGGGTATGATACGAGGAAAGAATTCCATATTTAAACGGTTGAGAGTGGGCATGCAGTGAGGTACTCTGAGAAACATTTAATCAGTGCCCTTTCCTCAGAGTACATGAGACAGTCGGAGCTGGCCAGCTGGCCTTCTGACACTCCATGACACAGAGGGAACCCCATCCAACTCCGCTTTTCATCCATCTATTTTTGAATCCTTTTAACACTTTATGAGAGAGAAAGAGAGAAGAACAGAACAGGCAGGCAGGCTGTGTTTAACCCCACAACACCACCATAGAGCCTGAAAGCTTGGAAGTAAATACAATTTCTTTGGCACCTTGTAATAAAACATGAACAATGAGTATCTCACCATGTTATTAGTCTCTGGATTCCACGCTCCGGCATACTTACACATTTACAGAAAAGAGAGACAGACAAAGAGAGTACTGTGCTGAGAGGTTCAGACGGAAGAATTCAGGATTCAAGCCACAACAATATTAATGAGGAAAGGGAGGGTAGGGCAGCCCAGTGAACAATGAGCTGCTCGCAACAGTTTTGAAAGAGACAGTGGAGAAGACACACAAACATTCCTAATTTCTTGCCTTGGCTGGATAACTCGGCTGCAAAAGGTAAGATTCTTTGCTCTTCCGGTTTTCGGGATCAGAGGTAACCCGGGGGCCTAGCACAGGTGGTCTCACATCTGGGAACGAAGCCCGAGTCCCCAGGGAAGGACTCTCGCCACGGTTAACGGCATCTTTACGGATGTCAAAGAATAGCTTGGGAGGGTCAGGAGGAGGAGCAGGGGGTGGTTTTCCTGTGCCGGCTGTGCGGGAGACAAGGCTGGGAGCCGGTGCTCGGGTGCCCGCAGCCTCCGAGGGAGTGCCTTTGGCAGGGTCACGTGCAACACGAGAGGAGTTTTCTGACGCCGCCAGGCAAATGTTATTGGATAAACAAGGTACATATAAGCTGCTGACCTTTTTAATCCCAACTGCCTCATGACATGGGTTAGAGCTCACATTCTTATGATAAACTGTCCTGGTGACTGCATAGCGCTGCTGGGGTTGGGATGAAGCACTGGGGAATGTGGAGTCCGGAAGCAAGGAACCAGGGCACACCACACCTTTGGGAGCCGATCCAGCTGCCAGGAGGACAGAGATGGGCTGGGGTTGTGAGGGGTTCTGCTGGCTGGGGGTGCCGAGTGGGACGTAAGGCTTTGGTGAGCTCAGGTAGAGGGAGTCCTTGTAGGTATTGTGGATGGTGGGGGACTGCCATGCAAAGCGGTCCTTTTGAGGGAGAGGAGGGTGTGGGGGAGAGAGAACCTTTAGCAATATTTTCAAAATATGTTATCAAACAGGGAAAAAAGAAAGAGGAGGGAAATGGAAAGAAGGACGATCATTAGAAACGACAGCATAACATGATCTAAGCAAAAACAATTCTTAACACGTTTTTCAGCACATCCTCAGGTTAGACTCCTCCTAGTATCCACAGTTCTCTCTGAGTGAAGCCAAAGACTGAATCCCACTCACCTGGAGAGGTAGGCCTGACTCTCCTTTGCATCCAGGGAGGCTGAGCCCAGCCCATAGCAGGCCACATGCTACATCAATTTTGACACCAATCCTTGGCTGACTGCATCTTTATTAGACATCCTGACTCAAGAAGGGCGCCAAGTGAACTAAACACCAGTGGGAGAGGCCCCAAAGCCCCCAACTCCCTCTCAAACCTCCTTCCCTCAAGATTTATCTTTGAGCCTTTGGCCTTAGAAGTTTATGTTCACTGGAACTCTTTTGAGTGCCTTTCATTCTTTTCCCTTAGGAAAAGGAGAATTGGAAGAGCCATCCTTATTTGTGTTCACAGGAGACAGATGTCTTAACTGAGTCACTGAGATTTAGCACTCGATTCCGTAAGCATAACAAATTAAAGTGCCCTAAGAAGAGAATGCCAAGGATTTTTGAATACTCATGTGCTCTTTTCTCAGAGGAAAGAATCTGATGAAGCTAATTATTAGAAGGAAGACAAGCATGAGATTAAAAGCACACAGTCTCCCATTTTTGATGTACACAAAAGAGGGGACCAGGCAATGAAGGACTGAATTGGCCTTTCCCGGATTGGACTGTGCCTAGTTTATCAAAATCCAGCCTCATGCCCATCTCACCCAGCCCACCACCACACAAAGGGAATCAGCCCCAGAGGTCAATGATCAGCCTCTGATTCACAGCTTAAGCCCAAAGCTCTAGTTGCAGGTCCAGAGGCTCGCACAGCATCCCTCTCTTCTCAACACTGCTCCTCTTAGGGTCTCAGTGCAGAAGAGGGTCAGGAAATCTCCAGTCTGATCCTCACATCAACAAGAGTCATCTGCCAACCTGTGGCTCAACTGGGAATTAGACTATGAGATGAGGAAACTTCATTTTGCTAGATTTTCTTTTTTGTTTTGTTTTGTTTCGAGATGGAATCTCGCTCTGTCACCCAGGCTGGAGTGCAGCGATGTGTCCTCAGCTCACTGCAACCTCTGCCTCCCAGGTTCAAGTGATTCTCCTGCCTCAGTCTCCTGAGTAGCTGGGACTACAGGCACATGACACCACGCCCGGCCAATTTTTTGTATTTTTAGTAGAGACGGGGTTTCACCATGTTAGCCAAGATGGTCTCGTTTTCCTGACTTCGTGATCTGCCCACCTCGGCCTCCCAAAGTGCTAGGATTACAGACATGAGCCACTGCACACGGCCTAGATTTTCTTTAATGGCTCCTTTTTTTTTTTTTTTTTTGAGATGGAGTCTCACTCTGTCGCCCAGGCTGGAGTGCAGTGGCATGATCTCGGCTCACTACAGCCTCCGCCTCCCAGGTATAAGCAATTCTCCTGCCTCAGCCTCCCGAGTAGCTGGGACTACAAGCACGTGCCACCACACCTGGCTAATTTTTTGTATTTTTAGTAGAGACAGGGTTTCACCATGTTGGCCAGGATGGTCTCAAGCTCCTGGCTTTGTGATCCACCTGCCTCAGCCTCCCAAAGTGCTGGGATTACAGACGTGAGTGGCTCCTATTTTTAAAGATATCCCAATTCTAGAAGAAAACCAGAACTTTCCTTCAAATTACACAAGTGAAGTATATTAGAGTTTGGTCAATATCTGGTAAGTGAATTTTGACCAAAAATGAGGAGGGTGCAAGACCTGGGTCTATTTTGATTTTATTTTTAATTTTATTTCATTCTTTTTTTTTTTCTTTTTTGAGACGCAGTCTCACCCTGTTGCCTAGGCTGGAGTGCAATGGTGTGATCTCAGCTCACTGCAACCTCCGCCTCCTGGGTTCAAGTGATTCTCCTGCTTCAGCCTCCTGAGTAGCTAGGATTATAGGTGCCTGCTATCACAACCGGCTAATTTTTGTATTTTTTTTTAGTAAAGACAGGGTTTCACCATGTTGGCCAGACTGGTCTCAAACTCCTGACCTCAGGCGATCCACCCACCTCAGCCTCCCAAAGTGCTGGGATTACAGGCATGAGCCACTGTGTCTGGCCTATTTCATTCTTATATTTGTGGCATACAGGTGGCAAAAAGAAAGAATGTTAGAAAGGGTGAATAGGTGAAAAATATTTAAAAGTTTTATGGGTTGGGCACTGTGGCTTAAGCCTGTAATCCCAGCACTTTGGAAAACCAAGGCAGAAGGACCACTTGAGCTCAGGAGTCTAAGACCAGCCTGGGCAATACAGTGAGACTCTGTCTCTACAAAAAATTTAAAAAAGAAATAGCCAGGTGTGGTGGCACACACCTGTAGCCCCAGCTACTAAGGAGGCTGAGGAGGGAGGATTGCTTCAGCCCAGGAGGTCAAGGCTGCAGTGAGCTGTGATGGCACCTCTGCACTCCAGCCTAGGTGACAGAGCAAGACTATCAAAAAAAAAAAAAAAAAAAAAGTTTTTGAGTGCGGATTAGACTATCAACCCAGAAACAGTAAATAACCTGTTCCTTAAACTCAGTTTTCAAGGTACAAATAAGCTCATTGGAGAAGCAGCTCACTTGGATATCCTTGGCTAATCCAATGCCTATCCTTTCCACAGGGCACCCATGGCAGTGCTTGTGAATATGTACCAGACAAAAAAAAAAAAAATGAATAGCCCCTCTCTAGTAGTAAGCAACAGCAAAAACTTTCAGGTGAACTCACTTGGTTTCAGTGAACACGTTTACAGACTAAACGATTCTAGAAACAAAACACTTGAGCTAGCACGCACCAAAGGGACTGGCGGGTATGCTGATAATGGCAGGAGGGAGGTAAGCAAAAGACCATTTTGATTTGAGCTCAGATTTACTTTTACTTTCAGCTCAAATGTCCCATATGTGATTTCTTCTTGTCCAAAGATAGAAATCAGCTTCAGTGAGTTTCTAACTTATTTCGGCTCTCACCATATATGGTGCCAGGGATGCATTACATCAGGCATGAGCCTTCCCAGGGCTTTGACCCTGTAGAGAGGACGCTTCCCCAGAGCATCAACAGTGCACTCAGATCCAAAGGTCTCCTGCCCTGGGGCTTCTTTTAGTCCTGAAGAAGAAAGGGGATAGGCACAGTGACTTTACATGCAGGGAACTACTTTTTGTTGTAAACATTGTAGGAACCACACAGGCAGTCTGCATTCTGCCCAGTTGGCTACAAATGAAATTCTATTTATCTTTTTAGAAGGTGGGTCAGTAAAAATATGAGGCTTCTGGAAAATCATGGTATGTTTATAGTTTATACAGTTCTGTAAACTACCAATTCCCTTGTCTAAGCCACTGCATACTTAAAGCTTTGGCAATCACTATACAGACAACAAGTCACGTTTCCATTTAGAAAACACATCTAAGAGGTAATGGGTGACCTAAAGATCCCTGAAATTTGAATGGCTGATTTTACATTGAATATGCAGGATAAAAACCTCTCTATCAACAATTTACCAGGTTCCCTTAAAGGGAACCCCAATAAAAGGGAAATTCTTGGATAGTGACAGATAAGAAAACACACTTTGTAAAAGATATTATAGGGTATTCACCCTTATCAATCTCTTGAGGGCAATGTTTTACACAGTGATCTGAACACCACGGAGATGCTCAATAAAGCTGTGTTAAGTAAATCTATTTTAAAAGAATTTTTATTTACTTCACATGCTTTTAAAATTATCTTTTCAAAGGAGTTGCTTAAGAAGCCAAAAAGAATTACTGAGTTACCCTTTGAACTAAGTCACTGATAGTAGAAGAGGACATGCTTCCACATTTGCTCTGAATTAATCAGCACTGTTTCTCAATCTGCATAGAGCTGATGGCATCCATTCTTGAGATGGTTGAAAAGTAATATGTCTGCCACAGGCAGCACATTTATACACTGTGAGAGGGTTTAGGAATGGGAAAACCATGGCAAGTCATTTACCGGACAAGTGACCTCCCCAGTCCCTGTGTCTAATGAGGACTTCAAAAAGCCAGGCTCATTTACAGCTCCTGGTTCTAACCGGTGACCCAGGATGCATATGGCTGTACCTAGAGAGGCAAGTGATGGCAGGTGGCAGAAAGGCTAAATGTGTTTGTTGCTCAGCATACAAGGCAGACAGTTAAGCAACCAATTCCACGCTGGGGAAGATAAGCATCTGTAGAGAGGGAGAAAAACATCATCTCTGATTCAGCTTCATTTCAGCAGCAAATGCAATTTTACATCCTCAGGAGCAGGAACCAGAGGATCATTGGAGAAGTGGGGTGTGAACCAGGACGGACCTGCAGAATTTCCAGACCCCTTGTGAGTTCAGGGAACACCTTCACAGAAGGAAGGCACAGGGAAGTGGCCCACACAAGGAACACATTTCTGCAATAGTTTTTGAGCAGCACAGCTTCCTTTAAGAGAAAGGACTAGGCTAGGTGTGGTGTCTCACACCTATAATCCCAACACTTTGGGAAGCCAAGGTGGGAGAATGGCTTGAGGCCAGCCATCGGAGGCTTCAGTGAGCTACGATGACACCATTGCACTCTGGCCTGGGCAACAGATAGAGACCCTGACTCCAAAAAAGAGAGACGAAGACAGAAAGACAGAGAGGGGAGAGAGAGAGAGAGAAAGGAGTAGGAGTCGATTCCACAGATGTGGCTCCTGTATGCAAAAATGTTCATCACAGATCACCTAAATTAAAACATAGTCTATTCCCTTTATCAAAATGACAAAGTAACAACAGGTGAGGGAAGGAAGAAAGATCAAGAAAGTCACCTAGGGGGAAAGACTTAAACAAAAGTATCCTTACTCCAATTTGTACAGCTTTGGGGGATTTTCTTTTGTAGGATACAGCTGGGCTGTACTGTCATTTTGCCTGTTGCTGGGTTGCTGGACTTAGAGCCTGGCCACAGCTACCTGATCTTAATCTGTAAGGATACTGTTGCTGGAGTTCTTATAGCCCCATCTCCAGAAAACAATTGGAATAAACACAAGATGCATTCTTCTCTCAAATATTACACTCTAAAGAATTTTTTTTTTTTTTTTTAAATCTCAGACCTTTTTCCTATGTATCCAAGGCTAAATGAATTCCCTCTTTCAGAACACTTCTACATACATAACAAACCTAAATAGGCATCAAGGCCTATTTCCAACACCCAGGTACAGACCAACCTCATTCTGTGCCTCTGCGTCCCTTGACCCCAACTTTCCCTTAGCTCGGTCCTTGCAGAGCTTATCTGGAGTTGTCCAAAAGCTTGAAACCTACTCCATTATCCAGTTGGGGAAGCAGGAAGTCACCAGTCTAAGTTAAGAGACTCAAGAACAGGTACCACTCACCAGTCCCCACCCTGCCCTTGGGCACATGCCTACCTGGGACTTGTCGGAAGGAAGATTGGGATGCACACTCCTGTAGCCCTTGGCAGCAAGTGAAGATGGCTGGGCATTTCCATTGGCATCAGCACTGGAAGAAAGCCTCCACTCATCTGAGAAATAGGGAGGAAAAAAAGCTCTCACTCACAGGGAATAACTCCCTGGCTCCCCTGTAACTCTGGGGTCCTTAGTAGAAGGCCAGAAAGGCGAGAATGCAAGAGAAGCCATACCTGCTGAAGAAGGCTCTGGCTCCAGACCTACACGTGGTGCAGAAAGGATGGAAACAAGAAAAGGGGAAAAACAGAAATGGTTACATTTGCAGGAAACAAGCATGAACTGCATAGAAGGTTGAAAATCCAGCACCCCGTTGTCTGACACAAAATGCCCTCAGTCACGATGGCCTGATTACCATAGGAACCCACTCAAAACCATGATGTGCTCACAGGCACTGACCTTTGAAAACACAAGGCACACATTCACAGGGATGAAGAAACAATTGTTACTTGACATTCTTATTTTACAGACAAAAAGGCAACAGAATTCTCTACTGTCCAGTCCCTCCTCACTGCCTCTCATTCCCCTTCCTCGAGCCTGCTGTGGGCTCAGAATGACCGCTCCCAACCAACTAACAAGCCCAGGAGAGAGAGAAGTGGATAAACACTTTTTCCAGGGGTGATGGTGCTGGGCTAAGGGACAGAACATGACTTAAGCCAGGAGGTATCTGCTGCGATAAAGACTTTTTTTCTCCCTGCCTGCTTTTCTTCTTTCCATTAAATGAGCCACATAAACGTTTCAAACTCTAATCACCCTTCTTGAGTGTTCATCACATCACAAAGCACCCTTGTCTCCCTTCAGCCTTCCCAGCCACTGCCTGATGCATTTCAGAGACCCTAAACTTCTCCTAGTTTGATCCACGTAGCACACAGCACCATGAGGCAGCAGACTGCAGTGGTTACGAACCCGACTGGAAAGGCAGCTGGGCCTCAATTCATATCCTGGGTCTGCCACCTAAGGGTTCTATGACCCTGAGCAAGTTATAAGCCTCAGTTTGCCCATCTGAAAAATGGAGATAATGATATGCCTGTTTTATAAGTGTTGTTAATAAGAACATATATGCATGTGAAATGCTTACCACAGTGCCTGGCAAAGTTCAGAAAATGTTTGCTATTTATCATCTACTGTATCATCTCTTGTCTCTACTCTCTATCCTTGATCTAACCCAGGGGTCCAGAGACTTTTTTCTATAGAGGACCAGATAGTAAATATTTTAGGTTTCATGGGCCATATGGTCTCAGATGCAACTACTTGGCTTTGCTATTATAGGACAAAGGCAGCCACAGATGATATGTAAATGAATGAGCATGGCTGTGTTCCAATAAACCTTTATTTATGGACACTAAAATCTGAATTTCATAAAATTTTCATGTGGCATACAATACCATTCTTCTTTTGATTTTTCTTTCAACCATTAAAAAATGTAAAAGCCATTCTTAGCTCGAGGGCTGTACAAAAAAAGGCACAGGCCAGATTCCGCTCACAGCCATGGTTTGCCAATCCCTAATCTAGCCAAGCCTTAACCCCTTCCTCTCCCAGGCTGTCTCCTCTTGCCTTATCATGTAGAAAAAGAGGGACTAATACTGCAGCCTCACTGCCCACGCCTCCATTTCAATGTGGGTCCCTCAGGGGCTAGACACGGGCTTTCCAGATGCCAAGCTGAGATTTACAGACATTACTGAACACCTCTCTAAGTGCCACTGTGAGTCACTGTTACCCCCACTTAGTTTTAGTTCAGTGTACACAACAACTCTGTGAAGTAGGTAATCACTCTCCTTCATGGATGAGGAAACAGAGAGGCCAACTGACTTGCCCAAAGTCACACAGCCAGGAAGTGACAAAGCAGTCAGCCCAAGTCTCCAGAATCCACATCTAGCACCCTGCCTACCACCTCCACAGCCACCAGCCTCCCCATCAGCCAGGAAGAGGATGCTATGCTTCAGAGAGGTGGTGGCAGCCAAAAACAGCTGGAGCAAAAGGCAAGGTAGGGTAAAGGTTCTGAGTGATTGGCATTCACGTATAGCAGTGGTGTGGCTGCATCAGGGCTTGCTGAAACACAGGTGGCTGGGCCTGGCTCCCGGCGCTTCCGATGCAGTAAGTGTGAGGTGAGGCCCGAGATTTTGCATTTCCAACAAGTTTGCAGGTGATGCTGAGACTGCCAGTCCATAGCCGACACCAGGAGAACCACCGATGAGAGGTACACTCAAAAACTTCCTTATTCTGGAAAACTAGCCGTATCCATTTTATTTTTCCCCCTTTAAACCAGTTTTTAAATTCAGCTACATATTCTTTTAGCAAGTTGCCTGTTACATTTCTGCCACTTCCTTATGGACAATTCACTGCTATTTGTCTTCTCCACCCCACAAAAACCGCATGCGGTCGGCCCTCGATACCCACGGATTCCACATCTGTGAATTCAACCAACCGTGGATCAAATATTGGGGGAGAAAACAAAGAATAAGAAAACAATAATAATATAACATTAAAAAAATACAGAATAACAACTATTTACATAGCACTTACATTATATTAGGTGTTATAAGTAATCTAGAGATTATTTAAAATATACAGGAGAATGTGCATAGGTTATATACAATGTCATTTTATATAAGGGACTTGAGCATCCTCAGATTTTGGTACCTGTGAAGGTCCTGGAACCAATCACTGGCAGATACCGAGGGACGACCATAGTTGGGAAAGGTACAGGACATATGTTTTGCTCACATACTGCAATGTACCGGCATGTATAACCAGGAGCAAGTTCACTAGCCATGCTAAATTTTACTTTTCTCATCTACAAAATGTAATCCTTACCCCATACTCCTCACAGGGAGTATGATTCTTTGATTCTCTCCAATCGAAGAACTGGAGTATCTTTGAGAATCAAAGATCAGGTACGTGAAAGTACCTCTGAGTGCACTACACTCCCTGTCGCATCCAGACGGCTCCCTGGCCCAGAGCTCCCCTCACACCTGGCAGGCCCTTAAACACCTGGTGACATGCCGTGACAATGGTCCACTTCCTCCCTCACAGCTATCACTTGTACTGTTCCATCTTCTTTTCTAAGTTGCTATTTCTAGTCCACCTTTGTCAAATAAGTCTATCAAATTTATTAGATTTTTGCATATACTAACGTCAACAGGTTTTGAATGAAGGGCTATCTAATGAAGCATGTAAACTTTGTACATGGAACTGGGGACACATTATTTTGCCCACTTTCTGGTTCTCAGTTGGGTTGGTTCTATTCAAGTGATGCTAGCAAACAGCTATGCCATGGAAAGCTGAGATGTGAACTATTCTTCCAAACCTCCAGGTATCATGAAACCTCCAGGTATCACTGTGACATCAGATTGCCTAGTTTCAGCCCTGAGTCTCTATCTTGCTAATTGCATATCCTGTGGCAAATGACCTGGCCACATCTGTGAAATGGAGATAATATCTACCTCTTTTGAATCATGAGGACTAAATGAAGGTATCTGGCATAAAGCATGTGCTTTGCAAAATCAGAATTCAAAGCATAAGGGGGGAAAATAACCATGGACAAGAATGAGCATTGTTGATCTCTGCCATGTGACAAATAGCTTTAAGAACATAAGATCCTTATGGATACATCCACTTTTTCCTCTCACTCCAAGTCTTTAAAACTGTTCCCCTTCCCCTATCCCAAAAAGGCAGTTCCCAGGACCTCTTAAATGTTCCTTTCTTCCTTGTTAAAGGAGAGCTGTATTTCTGACATCTTACTATCCTTCATCTATTACCTCATCTTCTGAACCTGGAAGGTTGGTAGCAGCCTGGGGCCATCTGTGCCTGTGTGCAGCAGTATGAAATTTTGCACACACAATCATCCATTATTAACTCCTGATTGAAGAGACTGTCAAAATGCTTCTTTCAATAAATGTTACCTTACAGCTCCCAAGGTGGGGGGAGTGCCTTGGAAAGTTGGATCCTACAGAGCTTTCGCAGTCCTCAGAGACCTACCCCTTCTGCAAGACGCATAATTTACTTTGCCTTATCTTTTCCTCCAGCTGTTCTTTATTTCAATCTTTTCTGGCCTGTGGCTGTAGCCTCCTGATATTTTACTTTATCTCATTCTATGCTAATTTCATTTTGACCTGTTTTAAAGTCTTTTGCTGATCAGTCAATTCTTCTCGGGATCTTAGGATAATTTTCACTGACTGAGTCTTGATGTGTTCTGGTAAGAGTATTTAAGAGGTAGATGACAGATGTTAATAGTGAGTCTAAGGGTGTTCCAAATCTTATTTGTGTTTATTTTGTATTCATGCTGTATAGCAGAGAATTTCACTTTATCCAAAAAGAAGTCTGGCCTTGGCCCTCAGCTTCTGGGATGTAATCTCTGAGCTCCTGGGAAGTCCTGCCTGATAGGAGTGATTTTGTTTATCTGGGACTTTGAGTCACACTAACTATGTGACGTGGGGTGGGGCCTTTGAGCCACTAGGAGCTCGATCGATTAGGAAGTTGGACTGGAGACTGAGATCTGCCCTGTGGGCAGTGGATCATGCCTATGTAATGGAGCCACGGTAAAAATGCTGAACACAAAGGCTCGGGTACATTTCCTGGTCGAAAATGCTCTGAGAACACTGTCACACATCACTGCTGGGAAATAATATGTCCTGACTCCACGCAGAGTGGGCAACAGAAGCTCCGCATTTGGTACCTTTTCCAGACTCCACCCTATGTGCATCTTCTCTTGCCTTTTAAAATCTGTATCCTTTCCCTATAATAAACCATAACCCGGAGCGTAGCAGCTTTCAATATGTTATGTGAGTCCCTCTAGCATTGCACCAAATCTGATAGTGCTTTTGGGAATCCCCTGAACTTGCAACTGGCGTCAGAAGGGAGGGTGCACTCTCGTGAGGACTTTTCCCTCCAACTTCTCAGCTGGCCCTAATGTTCACACGTATACTCATCAAAAACACTCGAATTTAATGGAGGTACGGGGTATCTTTAACTGCTTCAATGTTAACCTTCCTATGGTACCTTTTTGCTACTGCCATTTCTGGAGAGCAAATGTGAGAGTCAAACCAGAGGAAATAATTTGACTGTGGGTCCAAGAATCTTTATGTCCAAAGCTAACTTTGCATTCAAGAATCAGGCAGTAAGGACTGGAGCCAACTGGTACAGAATTAACAAAATATAAGGGCTGAACTGGACCCTGGCACCTAAGTCAGAACACAGGAATTGA